TGTGGTAGTTCTATAACTATCTAAGTAAGTACCTATCACATCATACCTCCACCATGCGAACCCACATTAGTTTACATAACCTACGACGCCGGTATGCCCTTCCTAGTAATAACTTATTATATTATTATATATAAGAAATATTGTTTCTTTTATAATATATATCTAATATTATGCAAATTAAACAAAGAAATGATGTTTATTTACAAAAAAAAAAAATAAACTAAAAAAATTTGATTAAAATAAAAATCTAAAAATTATTTTATTGATTATTAAAGTCAAATTAAATTAATGATTTATTTAATAATAAATATTATTATACAAATTTAATATATTATATAATTAATAATATTTTATATTTATTTTATAATAATATAAATTGAAATTTGAATTTTTAATAAATTTTATTATAATAAAAATATTTATTAGTATATATATATAAGTGAAAAAACATAATATAATAAGTAACTTATATAAATAATTAATAGTAATTTCAATTGTTTTATATAAATAACTAGATTGATAGATTAGATGGTTTAAACTAATAATAGAAATTTTATTCTCTAGATAAATCTCTCCAAAAATGTGTAATCTACTCACAGAGTGGCTAATATATTATTAGATATATAAAGTAGATAGACTAACATTTAGTTGTTGTAATGATAAATGATATTTGATGTAATAATAAATTGATATAATTTAATAAAGATTTGAATTGATGCCATTTTACTATAAAACAAAAAAAAAAAAGTAAATAAAAGAAATAATAAAATATTTTGAATTTAAATATAAAGATTGTAAACAATAGATCGGTTATACAAAAGTATTTCTAGTTTGTAATATTTTTATTAATCTAATAATAAATATTGGCATAAAAATTTTTGTTATTTTTTTTATACACGGTACAAATTTTGCTATTAAAAGATTTTTTTGACAAATTTGTTAATAAAATAATATTGTTTTTGAATGAATTTAGATAAATTACTAGTTGAAAATTAAATATTTCATAAATTTGATATTAAAGAGTATAGATTTTTTTAAATAGTAATTTCGAATCTATTTTTATTTAATCTCAACTTGGAATAATCTAAAAATATACAGTATGTAAGAGATACATCTTTTAATCAAAGTTTTTATGAGCAATTAAAATTTTATTTTTCGTTTATGGGGTTTCCTTTGCTAAAATTAGTTTTTAACCACCAAGTGCTCAATTAAAAAGGAAATAAAGGTTTTTTCATATCCATCTGAAATGTTTACAAAGGAAAAATTATTAAGACATAAATAATATTCAAGAAGATTCTCTCTCTATTGCCTTGATGCGATAAAGATCAGCAAAACGAGAAACTCTAATATGCAACAGATTCTGCACGTTCAAATATAGTCGTGGATTACAACACAGTATTGAACATTTTGTCCCAGAATTTGCTTGTAATACCATAGCCTAATTCATAGTTTTTGTAATGGTGATTCAGATGATATGTTTTCATTTCCTGTAGATGTTGACCGAAAGGGCGAGCGTGATGAAGGTAATAGTGAGTCATGTCATAGCAAATGTAGCCAAATACAGCACCGGCGATTAAAGCATGCGTAATCGATTCAGGAAAAATAAAATACCCAGCTCGCATGATTGGGATAGCGATGGTTCCACCAAGAATCGGTGGCATCACAAGACGCATCCTTAATAGCGGATGGGAAATTAGTAGATTGAATTTTTATAAGGCCAAAATGGAAGAATCATAAAGAGAATAATCACCGGTCCATAGGTAAATAATGATGAATTCCATGTAGGGTGAAATGTAGGGAAAGGGCATAGGGATGATCCGGAAGAAGATTGTCCACGTGGAATACAAACCGATGCAGTGCATACTCCAACAAAGTCCAAATCCAAATACCAATGACGAATAAGACGGAGATCGTATTCAAGCCCAAATTTTCTGATGCCATAGATGCATGATAATATACCACCGGGATCCAAATGATCGGAATTACATACCACGGGGTCTTCGTTAGAATTTCTAAATAAGGACTCTCAAACAATTTGACGGAGTATGGAAGATGGCGCGGTTTGTGAATTTGTTGGAGATAAAATTCTTTGGTGAAATCGCAATTGAACATTTGGTAAAATAAAGGTCTACTCAGGTCGAGAAATTTCTCTTTGAGATCGGATTGAATGTTTGTTGTTGCGGAATGAAATTTGTCATCGGCAGTATAATTCTTGGAGACTTGTGACTGTGGTGATATGGTGGCAACCTTGGTCGTAGAAGTATTGTTATCAACTATTTCACCTATACATAATTCCCCCAACGCTTCGTAGGCTACTTCACTATGTTCATGCGAATCAGGATCATTCAACACTTTGGTAATGTCTTTTCCTGCCCACTCTACAATAAGATCAGCACCACCGGGATGGTCCAAGACGAATTCTGTTACGTCATAGACCTTGTTGTTATGGATAACCCACAGGTCGTCGGTTCTATTATGTTTACCCACTTCCTCACGGGTGTACCGGAAAAGCATACGCCCAGGCATTATTTGTTTGAAGTGTAGTTAAGATGAGTGGTTAACGTGATTCAATCCCGTCGCGACTGACAGAGCGAGAAATAATTTTTATACGTTAAAAATGTTGGATAATCATATTGTTACACAACAACAACGATCCTACTGTTGGCTGTACTACGATGAGGCTTGAGCATTTTTTATCAGATGAAACATGTTTGATTGTGGGGTTCATCGTTGTGATTACTTGAATGTAATAAAACATATTTTAATTCTTCATAATCAATTATCAATTGGGTTAATTCAGTGAGGGAACTAATACTCTTTATAAGTTTTTTTTTAACATAGTATTAATTCTTTTATCATCCGGTTCAAGAATCAATCTGTTAATTGACTCAAATATTAATTAGATAACTTTTTTAAGTAAATGATATGATAATTTTACTACTAATTTAAGTAGTTTTATTTATTAGAAAGAAATTTTAGTTTTAATGATTGCAATAATTTAACTATAAAAAATTTTTTTTACTGAATAAATATTTTTATATTAACAAGTTTGTCTAATTTTTATTATCTAATAATTTTTTTTACATTATCAAAGTTCCACACGATTTTTTCCGATTGCAACCAATTCTACCTCGAACACAAGTGCGGCATTTGCTATAAAAAATGAGAATATTAACAATTAAGATCATTACAAAAGGCAACTATGTGTTAGCATCTATCAATATTTACCGGGAATAACTGGAGGACTACCTGTTGCTCCATAGGCAAGGTGAGATGGAATGATTAATTTCCGTTTTTCACCAATGCACATACTTTTTTTTATCAACAGAGAGCATGATTAACTTAGATGGCAGTGCAGCAAAAAATTAAGATTCGTACTTTACACAAGACAAGACTCACCCTCTCAAACCTTTATCCCATCCTTCATACCATGATCATGAATTAGAATTAGATGACAACAATGGATTTGTTACAGATTTTCCAATTATTAGAAAACTAACCTTTGATAACTTGCCCGATTCCTTAATATCAACAGTGGTGTCAGTAAAATAAGAACGCGTGGATTTTCAAGGAAAAAGATGGAATATGATTTTACCCAGAGTAAAAGTAAAGGGTTCACCCCGAGGAATGCTGGAATCAAATTCTTTCCCGCCATCAAATAAAACTCCCGTGTAATGAACGGATATCGAATCCCTGATGTTATAGGAATGTTGATCACTGGTGTTAAAAGTTTTAAAACAGGAAAAATTAGACCGGCATATTTACCCATCTTTCGTCTTCTTGTTACATTGACCTTCAGGAACTCGGTGCTTAATACCTTTTTTAATGAAGGGAATAATATTATTAAGCAATAGAATTTGTTTTTTAGCATTCCTGGAAGTCATACTGAAATCCATACCAATTTGCAAATCGTTGGGAGGCTCTCTGGCTTCGACAAGATTATGAAAAGTTGCCAAAAACGCGAAAAATATGAATAACAGGATTAAGTATCGATGCATTTTTTTCAACGAATTAATATCGAGTCTCAGCAGTCAATTTGAAGAGAGAGTAAGGAGAATGTCGATTAATAGCGTGATCAAATCACGTATAATGGTAAGCTGCGCCTGTAGTGTGTAACCGGATTACCCTTTTTCACTTCCGATTCTACTGTACATCTTAGAACACTGCCGCATCGATGTCACTACGTCAGACGGATCGTAAAGGAAAGAAGACATTAAGAATAGAGCAAGCCCTGAAAGAGAAAGAGATGGTGGGGGGCACCACCTTATCACTTTAAAGTGTTTTGTCTGATTTATTCAAACACGGATTTTTGCTTGGAACGTTAAGAAAGAGATCTCAAATGTATCTTCCGACACGACTTTTTGAACACGTGGAATATATAGGGGAATGCGTTCTTCAAGAAGGGAAATTACACAAAGGCTATCGACCATTATGGGAAGGCAATGGAACTGGACCCCAAAGAAGCAGTCTTTGTCATTAACCGCGCCATGGCCTATCTGAAGTTGAAAAAGTGAGTGGGAAGTACACTTGACTTTCGAACAACCTACCAAACCTTAAAAATTTAACAGCATGTAAAACTTTTTTTAGATGGATTGAGGCCGAAAATGATTGCACTCGGGGGCTGCTACTGCATCCTGATAACGTCAAAGCACTTTGGAGAAGGGGAATCGCGAGAAGAGAAATGGGAAAACTGGGGGAAGCCAAAAAAGGTGGAGGATGTAGTTAACAATTGCTGGTTTGATGCTAACGTGATTTTAGGATTCACGTACTCTTCTGTCTACTGCTATTATTAGATCTTGAAGATGCATTAAAGTTAGAGCCAAATGAAGATGCAATCAACGAAGAATATTCCAGGGTCATGGATGCTCTTAAGATGGTCAGGAAGGATGAAATATTTATATGTGCAGCGTGTGCTTTGTATCTTTAAACTACGTGCCAAGCAATGATCTAAAACTAAACAAGCTACTCCACCAACACCTCTCGAACCACAGGCGGAAGAAAAAGAAATTCCGCGGGATATATCAGCATCCGATACAGCTAAAACCAATGCAGATGGTAGTATACCTCGAAGAAGGTTGACTGTCGAGGAGGTCGAAATTGATGAGGATGAGCATATCATCGAGTCAGCAAAAAAATTGCAGATAACAAAGAAAGAGGAGAACGAGGTAAATCATGTTCACTGTGCTACCTTCTTTGACAAACAATGTTATCTCCAATGAAAACTTTCATCTTGCGAAGTCAAAACAAGAATTACCCGTATCCACCAGAACCATTCACCAAAAAATCGATAAACCCCGTACAATGATCGAGTTCGAACGCGATTGGAACAGGTATCAAAGTAACGACGAGGAGTTGTACAATTTCATCAAGGTAGCTGGTCACGGAGAAATATTCATTTGGTCCATCGATCTTGACCGAACCTTCTCATTTGTTAATCAATCACTTTGCAGGTCATCCCGCCTGATAACTATTCGACGCTCTTTTCCGAATTTTTTGGAGCAGATCATCTATCTCGTATCATAGTCATTTTAAAAGATTTCTTCTTGACGTATGTATGACTAGTTATGACTACTTGTATCATCACTTGTTCAGCTATAAATGCTGATCGTATCACCTAGGCGCAACACTAATTATAAGTCAAAACTTAGCCGTGACTCTGTAAACGACGTATATGACATATTATATCATTTGAGTCGTGTCGAAAGATTCGATATAATTTTGATGTTCTTGGAAAATAAGGATAGACAAGGTAAATACGAAATTTTCCTTTTAAATTGTTGCTTACCCTTTTTTTTTTTCAATTGATATAACGACCCTCCTCGATCTTTTAATTAAAAAAAGTGCTGGAAGAAATGTTTCGAACGCTAATTGAAACATCCAAGAATCAACAAAATGGAGACAAACAGAAATTGACAAATGTCTCGCTTCAGGAGGTGGTGAATTTAACTAAAGCTTATGGAATTAAAGGTTTATAACGACATTTTCTTCGGGCGTTCTTTGATATTATTTATTGTTACCGTTCAGGGTTATAGAATAATTCTTGAGCAATGTTAAATTAACAAATGAGAATGAGACTTTGTTTTTAGAATTCCATTCAAAATTTGTTTTATGATAAATTTCCATGTTCTATTATCAATTCTTTTTTTCTTCCGCTTGATTATTTATTGTCAGATCTTCCTGCTCCTCTTCTTGTTGCTATTTAAAGTTCATGAGAATTGAGTCAATAAATGTCCATCAAGCGATTTTCTTTTTTAGTGAATTTAAAAAAATATTTACCCAAAATTTTCTTTGTTCAATAAACCAGGGTGCCAAGTTGTGAGGTAATGTGATTAAATCCATGTCAAATAACTCGATAAATTGCTCACTCACATATCTAGCCTTATTTCCGGCATAACATCGATACTGGTTTTATCATGATCACTGTTATCTTCAGTAATAATCGATGCATAACAAAATGAATCAAAAAATTTACCTCGATGATGATCGAACTGAAATTCCAATTTTGTAGTTTTCTCAGGCAACCGATAAAAGTACCGGTCTCGTGAATCCCGGAGCTTTTGGAGGGAAACGAGTTCGTCAGATGGTATATTCACTACACCCAATGTGCTTCATGTACAGTTCGAAAAACATACGTGCATATTACTAGGATCGGATAATTTGAAATATCCAAAACCATTTCTAAACCATCCTTGACCAACTCTTCGCTGACAGGTCTCCATCCAAGGTTAGGCTTCCAAACTCTGAGACCCAAGTGAATCTTTTATTGAATTATAAAAAGATGAGATGAACTCGGACATACATTTGCGAATTGCCTTGAAATACTTTGAATATTCTTACAAGAGTACCAATTTGATGTTATTTTCCTCCAAAAAATTAGTTACGGCGCGAGTTGGAACTTCCGGAGACAGAATAAGTATTGTCTTTAAGTTGAGAGATTTTATGAACGGAAAATGTGAGGCGTGCAACATGTCTGAACGGTAAAGACCCTTCTCGACAATTCCAAATTGTTCGGGTGGAATAAGCATTCTGATTGATTATGTGAATGTACAATCACGAAGACAAGTGACCGTAAAATTTTTTAAGGTTACACGATCTTCCACCAATCAATTTGGTTCGATCCCGAATAAATTTTTTTGAAAGGTTGAAACCAGCAATCCTTCTCTACAATTTCCAATTTCAATTTCCGGCTTTCGCTAGGGTTTGAATTTAATTAATATAAGAGTTGTGAAGATGACAGAAGCTGTGCAGACCTATGGCCGTAAGGTAAAAATCGTTGTTGGTACGCGGTTTTAATCCTCGTAACAAGAAATTTTTTCCAACAATCATCTGAACATTATCATAACAGCCTTCTCTGAGGTATAACTTCATTCTTGCGTTCACACAAATTATAGAAAACTGCGACCGCTGTCGCTCACTGCAAACGTGGCAAGGGTCTGATTAAGATTAATGGATCACCAATCAACCTTGTTGAACCCGAAATTCTGAGGTTCAAAATATACGAGCCAATCTTAATTCTGGGTCAAGAAAAATTTGCTGATGTCGATATCAAAGTGAGGGTTAAGGGTGGTGGTCATACCTCTCAAGTTTATGCCATTCGTCAAGCAATCGCAAAGTCGATTGTGGCATTCTATCAAAAATATGTCGACGAGGCCCAAAAAAAGGAGATTAAGGATACTCTTATTCGTTACGATAGATCTTTGTTAGTGGCTGATCCTCGCCGTTGCGAACCAAAGAAATTTGGTGGTGTTGGTGCCCGTGCTCGGTACGTTTTCATTACGCCCTTATTATTTTTTTTTGAATTTAGGTTGTCTCGATCTCTCAACAATCTCGATCTTTCTCTCTTCAACAGATACCAAAAATCATATCGTTAATAACATATCGCCAAAAATTATTGTTAATATTTTGCTTATCACATTTTTATGTAGCGATCTGATAAAGTTGTTTATTAAAAATTCTTGTATTTGATTACAATCCATTCGTTTCCATGCTATCTGTTTTATGTTGGGAATTCATTCTACACCCTGCTTGCGAAAGCATAAAGACGTCGTTTCCGGCGTTATTGGATTTGTTCCGCATCCGTCAACATCATTGACTTATGTTAAAAATCATGATTAAACTTAATCCATTTGTCTGAATTTTGTCATGTTAAAATGATTTCAAAAGCTCTGATAAAATAATATTCACACAGGTGATAGAATATTAGCAATTCTTTAGAATTATATTTTAATTATTACAACCAGTAAATGAAAAATATAATACAACAAATATTTATAATATATTTAATTGATAATAATATTTTATCAACAATAGTTTGCATACAGTATCATATACAGTATATATATTTTTTTGAATAAAAATTAATTAAAAATAATTAAAATAAAAATTTATTATAAAATTAACTTCTATTATTTAAATTGTTTTACAACAATATACACTGTATATATTTGATAATTTATTGCCCCTTAATTTCATTACTTTTATCCTTATCAAAACTTTTTTTCTAACATATTATATAATTATTTTTTTTGAATCTTGCTTATTTTAGTTTATTTCAGAATTTTTTAATCATATTGCAATTCTTATAATCATCATATTCATTATTATAAGTCAAATATATATATATATATATATTTATTTAAGGGCTAAGGTGCGATACACATGAGGATTTTTATTGTAAGTTTATAGATTACAATTAACTATTACATGAACAGTCTATGTTTAATTGACACACTGCCCTTATTCTAATCCAAGTACCAACTTATATCATGGAGGTGGGTTTATACCTGAGTGTGGTATAAGTCAAATATATTATATATATCAACTTTTATTTATATATATGCAAATTTTTTTTTAATGTTTTTTCTTTTCTTCCTTCTAATATTTTTAATTGGTACTTTATTTATTTATTTTATTATTTTAAGTTTATTTTTCATGCCAATTAAATTTTACATGTCTTTATAGTTTTATGTTATTTGATATATAACAATTTGTATATACAGTATATACTTAAATATATCTCTACTAAAACTTAAATAGATTTTTTATTTTCAAGTCTTTAGATTCATATTATAATCTGGTATAACAGTAATCTTAGTTCCAGTCTTAATTGTATTGTTTATTAATTTTTTATTATAAATATTATTTTACTAACATAATTTGCTATAATATTTCTTTAAATAACTATTTATAGATTAATAATTTATAAGATTCATAAAATATTTTGTTTAATATTTTCAAACATATTAATATTTTCTTTAAATTTTCTTGTTTATCAATATTTTTCTTAAATATTTCTTATATATATATTAATATTTTTTAAAAAATTTTTTTATATATCAATATTTTTTTCAAGTATATTATTAAAAATATCATAAATATAATATGTTTTTCAATCAAATATTATTTTATTTTTTATTTTTATTAAAATTTTAAAGTTCAAATAAATATTAATATATAAATAATATTCATATTACATTCAAAAACTCATATAAGTTTTTCCTATAAATTATTATTAAGGATTCTAACAATTTGATTTAATTCAAATTTAAAATAGAATTGAAATCAAATCAAATAAAATAAAATATATTCAATTTGATTTTATTCGATTCGATTTGATTCTATTTAATTTGATTTGATTCTATTTAATTCAATTCTATTTAATTCTATTCTATTCAATTTGATTCAATTTGATTTAATTCAATTTTATTTTATTTTATTTAATTCAATTTTATTTCATTTGATATAATTTTATTTAATATAATTTAATTTAATTTAATTGGTTTTATTTAATTTAATTCTATTATATTTAATTAATTTTAATAAGTTTTTAAATTTTTTTTTTTTTTTTTTGAAAAGAGCAAATGGCTATCACGCTTTATTATATTTATTATACTTTCACTTACTTACAG